AGGCACTGACCGTCGCCAAACCCGCCAGAGCCAGAAAAACGGGGAACAGCAGCGGCAGCCTGAGCGTCCTCCAGGACCGCAGCCGGCCAAGGGCGGCCCGGGCGGGGTGCGGCGCCGCCTTGCGGTTTCCAGACCCCGTCTGCAGCAGCAATGCGGACGCTGCGGACGCGCCCGTCCCGCCGCGTGTTGCTTCGGGCCCAGCTCTGGAAGCTCTGCGTCTTCCGATTCTCAGCGACTCACTCGGGACGGAAGACTGAAGAGAACTGCTTCACAGACCGCTATCCCCGAAGGCACGTGCTTCAGTTTGGTGAATTAGACAGTCCCAACTTAAAATATTCAGAAAATTTTCTAAAGTCGCAGCCTGCAAACATCAGCCTGTCTCCCAAGCCACATAAAAATCTAAACATGTACATGCCTTTCAAGTACCCACGTAAAGGAGGCTGTTATTCTTGACATCAACCCTTCCATTCCCAAGCAATCAACAAGAAGTATCTTTCACGTTTCTACGTTTTATGCAAGCTGCTAAAACACTTTTTGTGGTGAGACAGAGTCTCACCATGTAATCCACAACTGCCCTTGAACTCCCTATATAGCCTGGGCTGGCCTCAAATTCAAGACCCTCCTGCCTCAGCCTCTGGAGTGCTGGGATTACCAGTGTATGCCACCATCCGGGCTGACAAATACTTCTGTAGTGTGATTGTTTTGTATTTATTGAATTTTTTTTCTTGCTCAATTACTTAGAACTATAGATAGTGCTAGAATTCTGCTGGTAAGAACTACTTACAGGTAGGATTATAGTTGGTTGTGGCTATGACAGCTGTGGTAGAAAAGCTGCAGAAACCCATCGGGCTGGGAGGGAGCTCCTTGGTAGAGGACTTGTCTGGCACAATTAAGGCCCTGGCTTCTTTCCCAAGTACCAGATAAGATCAGAAACTGAAAGAGAAGGGAGAGAGAGCCGCAGAGCTAACTGGGCCTCACTGAGCTAAAGTCCTGAGGGGCACGCTCTGCCTGGCGAGCCCTGGCTGCCGCCTGTGCTCTGCGGAGGCGCTGCAGGTTCTAAGCAGAGGTGAAGGACTAAGGGTGACCTCAAACATAACTTACAGCTGGGCGTGGTGGTGCACGCCTGTAATCCCAGCACTCAGGAGGCTGAGGCAGGAGGATCATTGCGAGTTCGAGACCAGCCTGAGGTACAAAGTGAGCTCAAGGCCAGCCTGAACTGCATAGTGAGACCCCGTGTCAAAAAGACAAAAACCAAACACAATTTACAGAATTGAGACAAAACACAAGGCGAGAAAGAAAGAAGTTCAAAGACACCAGAGAAACAACCCCCGAACACACAGCACCCTGTAAGACAGCCAGCCGCGACTCTCCAAAACATCAATGCCAAGAAGAAAAGACTAGAGTGCTCCAGACTAAAGAGACGGAGATCCAGGAGCCATACACACGCTTGTAACCCCAGCTACTCAGGAGGCTGAGGCACGAGGAGCACAAGTTCCTAAACGCCTGGGTAATCTTTTTTTTTTTTTTTTTTGTGGTACTGGAGATCAAACTCACAACCTTGCACTTGCCAGGCAGGCGCTTATGCCACTGAGCTATATCCCCAGCCACACCTGGGTTATCTAGCTGGAGCCTATCTCAAAAGGGCTAAGGGTGCAGCCCAGGTCCAGGCACTGGACTCAACCCCTAAGAAAGGAAGGAGAAAAGGAAAGAAGGAAGGGACAGAGGGGAAGGAAAAGAAAAGGGGGAGAAAGTAAAAGACAAGACAGGAGGGACATTTGTTGTTTTAAGTGCGATGTGTGGAATTTTATTGGAGCCAGCTTTTTTTTTTTTTTGAGACAGGGTCTCACTCTACAGTTCAGGCTGTCCTTGAACTCACTTTGTAGCCCAGGCTGGCCTTGAACTCACAGTGATCTTACTGCCTCAACCTCCCAAGTGCTAGGATTACAGGTGTGTGCCACCACACCTGGCCTGGAGCCAGCTTTTTAAATATTACATCTAGGGGCTGGGGACTTAGCTCAGCGGCACAGCGCCTGCCTGGCAAGTGCAAGGTCCTGAGTTCCATTCCCAGTACAAAAAAAAAAGGCATTTAAGTTGGGAAGGTTTCAATTAGATGATACCGGAAATTAACTCATGAGATGTGACAATTCTATTGTAATTATGCAAGAGGTTTATGTGAAATATGTAGGGATGAATGGTTATAATGTCTAGAACTTGCTTTCCAATGGTTCAGAAAAGAAAAAGTTAAGTAGACAGGGTGGGGCATGTAACTCAGCCCCAGCACTGAAAGAAAGAAAAAAGAAAAGATGCGTGCAAGGCCAGCCCTTGGGAGGCTGAGGCAGCCTGAGCTCCATACTGAGCTCAAGGCCAGCCTGAGCCACATTATCGAGACCTTGTCTCAAAAGTAAAAAATTTAAAAAGGGAAAAAAAGATGAGTAGATTAAAATATAAATGGCTATGTAAGATTGGAAGAGATTAATAGGGCAAACCCTGTCAGGGCGTTTCCTCTGTGCTGAGTGAGCATCTGTCATTCTCTCCCTGCAGACAATTTCACGCCTCTGCCTCCACATGCCTGGCCACCGTTTCCCCTCTGCAGTCCAGGGCAGACCACGATGCTCCCATGGGCACATGGAGAAAAACACGCCCAGCGCGACGGCAGAAAGCCAAGGCGGCACGGAGGAGGCAGCACGGGCCCAAGGGGTACTCTGCCCATGCTCAGCCTGCGCCCTGCCCCACCCCTGTCCAGCTGCGGGTGGAAATGGCAATGTGGCGTGGGCCCCACCGTGTCCCTGTCCACGCAGACGCCGCACTCGGCCTTTGAGGCCGGGGCAAACCACCTCCATGCTGCCTTTAAGCTTAGCTCACTGGGAGGTGAGGCGGGAGGATCGCAAGTTCCAGCCCAACCTGGACAACTTTGCAACTTAGACCATGTCACAGGGTGGAGGCGGCTAAGGATGTAGCCCATTGTGCAAGTCCTGGCTTCAGTCCCCAGCACAAAAAACTAGAACACCTACTCTACTGTCTCCCCCACCACCCCTTCCTCCATCCTAGCTTTCCTCCTCCCCGCTCTCCACGCAGCTCCCATGCTGCGCCCAGTGACCTAGGGCCCGGGCACACTCTAAGTCCCCGCCATCCCGGGCCTCCTTGCAGCTGACGCGCGGGTTCCCTGTCTCCCGTGACCTGCTGCTACCTCAGCCTCCAGGCCTGGTCCCAGCCCTGGCCGCCCGCCTGGGCCACTCCCCGGGCCCACTCTGGTCCAGTCCCGGCCCCCAGCGCTGAGCACACTTTTGAAACAACTTGTTTAAATTTTCTCATCAATTGTGAGGTCCAGCCGCACAGCCTGTGGGACCCAGTGACTGCTGCAGAGGTGGCATGGCTGTGCGGGCAGTGGGCACAAGCAGGTCCTCCCGCCTCCCTGGAGCACAGAACCGGTTGTTACTTTGCTGCTTTATCGTCCGCGTCTACTGCTCCCCTCCGAGGGGACCGGCTAAGCTCTCCGCCCCAGAGCGCAGCCTCCACGGCACGTCCTGTTTTCAGTCCCCATCTGTTGACTATCACAGACTGTAAGGACGGACGGACCTGGCGTGTACTGCACATCTGTCATCCCAGTGCTCCACAAGGCTGAAGCAGGAGGGTCAAGTTTAAGCCCAGCCTCAGCAGCTTTTGAGACCCTGTCTCAAAATAAAGGGGGTGGGGGCACCTGGAGACGTAGCTCAGTGCAAAAGCCGCGTTCAATCCCCAGTGTATTGCAGGGATAAGGCAGCTAAACCCCAGGTAACAGGACCGCCCTGGACCACACGGCCACTTCTTTTAGAAGCCAATCAGAAGCAGAGCTCGGAGGAAGCCGAGGTCCACACCGTTTTAAAGGCAGCAGAGAAGCCCCGCTTCTCTCCAGCAAGACAAGACTGCCCTGGGCACAGCACCACTCTATGGAGCGGTGAGGCTGGCTGCCCCAGTCCCCGGCCTGTCTGAGACACATCTTTGTGGTTTTATTTTTTTTTTTTGTCTTTTTTTTTTTGAGACAGATTCTCACTCTGCAGTTCAGGCTAGCCTTGAGCTCATTTTGTAGCCCAGGCTGGCCTCGAACTCACAACGATCCTCCTGCCTCAGCCTCCCAAGTGCTGGGATTACAGGTGTGCGCCACCACACCCAGCTGAGGCAGGTCTTTCCTGGGCCACCTTCCCAGTCACAGGAAGCTGGGGGCCCTACCGGGTCTTCAGCTTCAAAGCCCAACTCCACCTCCTGCCTGGCACCTCCCAACAGAGGCTCCTGGGGAAACCTGAGCCAGAAGACACGGGATGCCCACAGTCTCCTGCAGAGCTCAGCAGCAGAGGGTGAGTGAGTGAGCTGGGCTCTCCCCTCCCCCGGCCCAGCTGTGAGGCGCGTCAGCCCCATGGGAGGCAGGCCCTTGCCCTCAGATCCAGCACAGGCTGGAGGCCTTCCAGAGGCCGAGCCTCCGTGCAGAGGCCAATCCAGGCCACGTCCTTGCTGGGTCCAAGGTGACAGCCCGAAGGAAAGAGGGGTCCAACGCCGCTGCAGCACTTGGCTCCTGGCTGAGGGCTCTGCCCCGTCACCCAGACCCGAAGGGTGGCTTCCAGGAAGAGCAGTCTGCCCCGTGCTCCCCGGCCCTCCACCTGGGGTCGTGCTGTCCCGCCCAAGCGCACTCTGCGCGCACCTGACTGACACACCGCCTCATGTCGTGGGCCGCTGGCAAAGCAGATGCCCTCTGCTTTCGCTGCCAGAGCCCCACTTGACAGTGTCACCTGCTCAGGGAGATGCCCAGCCACAAAGGCCCAGGGAGCCCCAACTCCCAAGGCCGCCCTGCGGTGCTCTGGCCAGTGCCCGCTCCAGCCCAGACCCTACGGGCCCAGGGCCCAGCCCTGCAGGGCAGCGCACACCCAGATGCCAGCATCCACCGGCACGGCGCCGTGCCCCTCACAAGGGACCACCAGCTGTTCCCAGTCACCAAGTTCCTACAGACACAATCCACACTTCCACGAGCGTTGTCTGTAACTAAAAATTTATATCAACAGCAAGTCCTAGAGATGTAGTTCACGTGCTCCTAGGGTGTGCAGAGCACACGCAGCTTCCTTGCGTCTGCTGAGGCCGGCCGCAGCTCCACAGGCTCCTGCTCAGCACAGTCCAGACGCCCAGCGGACCCTCGGGATCGCTCAACTGCACACAGCCCGCGCCACTCTCCTCGCACAGCTAGGTCCGCCTGCAGGGCTGCTGCTGGCACCGGGCATGCACTGCGGCCCCACTGGCCCTGGGGCGCTAAGGTGCAGGGTGGGCGAGCGGGCAGAGAGCTAGGTGTCCACTGAGCTACCCGCGAGACGGTCCCTTAGGAGAGCGGGGACGGGAACAGAAGGGTGGAGAGAGGAGCCTCCCGGCGGCCAGCCCCTCATGCCACGCTCGCCTCAGGCCACGGGCAGGGGCTGCGGCAGATCACCTTTATTCACAGCGTGGGGAGGGGCGGGGGTGCTCAGCACTCATCCTCGCCCAACAGGGCGTAGGGGTTGTGGGCGGCCAGGCCAGGCCCCCGTGCCGAGGTCGGGGTGTCCTCGTCCCCCTCGCCCTCCTCGTCCGCGTCCCGGTCCTCCTCGCCCTCCTCCTCGCAGGAGCTGCTCAGCTCTTCCTCCTCCTCTTCCTCCTCATCGCCTGCTGGCCCCACCCTGCCCTGCGACACCACCAGCTCCGTGGTCTCAGGGTGAGACTCCCAGGTGCCTGGACAGATGGAAGAGGAGAGTGCAGGGGTCTGAGCAAGGGCCCAGGGCGGACAGCAGTTTCCACCGCTGCGGCATCTTCACTCGCTCACGCAGCCTCGGCGGGCACCACGCACCCTCTCAGCCCTCGCAGCTGGCGGATGCGCATGTGTGCGCATGCGTGCGTGCAATGGATCACATTCCCTCTGCTGTCAGAAACCGCCTGAGAGGTGCAGGAGTGCCGAGCCAGGTGCCCCCTTCCCGGCTGTCCAGCCCACACCCTCCAGCCACCCGGCCGCTGACCTCTCTGCTCGCTGTAGCCCGGGGGCTGGAAACACAGGCTGAGGCGGCCATCCACTGCCAGCCACAGCAGGCTGTTGGCTGCTCTGTACACGTCGTTGCGGGCCGTCCTGGCAGTCTTGTAGCCGCGTTTCTCGGCCCAGGCTACAGGGAGAAAGGGGTCAGGGAGGATGCCTGGATCCCAGACACCCCCCCACTCCTCCCCCAATCCTCCCAGTCTCCCCTAAAACTTGCCAGGCCCCAAGCAGCGACAACCTAGACAGCTGTGGCCAGCTGTTCCACCCAGGGTAGAGTCAGAGAAGAGGACAGGGTACAGAGGGATGGGGCCACGCGGGGCGCACCTTCACAGATGTCCCAGGCGCACCAGGGGTGCTCGCAGGACGGGTCCTCGGCCTCTGGGTGGCGCAGGTGCAGCAGGGTCTGCACGGGGATGCGGGAAGCCAGGTAGCCCACGGCGGTGTAGGGCTCCTGCATCTGGGAGACGGGGTAGATCCCGGCCAGCACCTGCGGGAGCAGCGCTCAGCACCAGCTGCCCGCCACTCCCGCCGGGCCCAGCCCCACCCACCACCCCACAGCCACACCTGCAGCTGTCTGGGCAGCAGGGAGGGGAAGGTGAGGCCTGGGCAGTCACAGAGCTTCACGGTTGGGGTGAGGAAGTAGGTCTGGAAGTAGCGAGTGTGGCCCGGTGTCCTGGAAACGCTCACGACCTTCCGGCCCACCAGCCCATTGATGAGCGAGGACTTGCCCACGTTGGGAAAACCTGGGGAGGTAACGTGTGAGCCAGGCGCAGCTCCCCAAAGGCAGGACCAGAGGAGAGCTGAGGCTCAGAAAGGAGCGAGGGGGTTTGACACAGTAAACTGCAAAGCAGTCCAGCCCTCAGGCGATTTGCCCGACTTCCAGAGCCTGTTCCTCAGCTTACAGGAGGAACAGACCCGCCTACCTCGCGTGGGCAGAACACCGGGAGCTCGCTGCATCTCCCACCAGCTGCCGCACCCCCTGCAGGCCCACCCCATCTTGCCTGCCCAGCCCAGGGCCTGTGGTGGGTCACCATCTGCGCGCTGGGCCTCAAGGCCTTCCCTTCACTCCATGTCAGCTGGCCCCTCCCGGGGTCACGCCCTGTGCTGAAATCTGCAGGTGGCAAGCCCCGCCCTGTCCCCACGCATCCCACCTCTGCACTCACCCAGGGCCCTCCATCCTCGTGCCCACTGCACTGACCCTAGCACACTGTCACTCAGGACCCCGCTCCCCTCTTATTTTCTGAGACAGGGTCTCACTGCGTAGCTGAGACTAGCCTCCAACTCCTCTTGCCCAGGGTGGTTCACGTGTGCCCCCGGCTCAGCCTTCGGGTGCTGGGGTCACAGGCACGCGCCCTTGCCCAGCCACACTTCCCTCCGTACCCACCTCGGCAGCAGTGACGCCGACCCACAGCCAGCCCCAGCCTCAGATCTGGGGCTCCCTGGCAAAACCCCGAGCCTGGAAAATGCAGCTGGCCTTCGGAGCGGCCTGTGCCCCTTCGCAGCACTGGAGGGCGCCTGCTTCCACGAGGAGGGCGGGGTGAGGAAAGCTGCTCCTCGGCAGCCCCTTTCTCTGTCTCATTTGTAACAGGCGTCCTTAGCGGTCCGGCTCGGGCGCAACTTAGCACTTGCCGAGCACTTGTGCCCTGGTTTGACCCCGCACAGGCACACAGAAGCACTCTACAGTTCTGCCACAATCTCCTGCTCACGACTGTCTCACACACGAAAACACACAGACACAAAGGCACAGTCCAAGGAATCCCCAGAGCCCTGAGCAGGACGCTGTCCCGAGAGCCCCACCTTCTCCCTCCGGGCCCACACCGTGACTGCCAGAGTCCCTCCTCGCCTGCCTCGCTAGTTTAGGACTCGTGTGTCCCGCACAGTGCAGTTTAACTTTGCAGCCCTTGAACGTTATGAGGTGAAGCGGGCAGTAGGGGGTGCCCAACCCTTGCCCGTGGAAGGAGTTCCCCATGTGGCAGCTTCTCGAGGGCCTCCCCAGTCGGCGCTGTCTCCTGGAGCACGCACATGTCCCGTCAGCCACGAGTGACCCCAACCGACCTCTCCTCCAAAATCGCTTCCACCTCACTCCCACGAGACTGCTCTGCTCTCCCGCCCCTCCTCCTCCTCCGCCCAGACCAGCTGCCTCCCGGTCTGCACCTGCACCTCCCAGGGCCCTTGCTTAAAACGCCAGCTCTGTCCACCCAGGGCTCCCACGCCGACGCCCTCCCTAATGCACACCTCCAGACCTCTGCTCTCCCCGAAGCCCAGATTCCCACACCGGCGGCCCACTCACCGTCTCCACCTGCAATGCTGGAGAGCAACCTCTAATCCCTCACCCTCTCCTCCTGGTCCTCCAGCCCGAGCCTCCTCTCCAGTCCAGCAGCTCAGCATCCCCAGCCCTCCCGGAGCCCTCCCCTCCTCTCACGCCAGATGCAAGGCACCAGCAACCTCGTCTTCTCCACCCGAGAAACACGTCCTGATGCTCTCCCGCTCCAAGGAGCCTCGGACTGGTTCCGTTCTGGTCCACCTCCCACCTCTCACCCTCCATCTAGAAGGCAGAGCACCCTACTAAGAAGAGAGATCAAGGGGCTGGGGATTTAGCTCAGTGGCAAAAGCGCCTGCCTGGCAAGCGCAAGGTC